TGGCCGATGGAAGGTCGAAGCGTATAACAAATGTTGGGATCACCCTAGAGAGGCTATTCAGGGTTGATTGTGCCGCGGCGACATCGTCGAAAAGCTAGACGATATCGTCCGCATAATCAAGATCAAGTAGCCTTTCACCAGGTAGCATCGTGAGGTTGCGCTAGAGAACACTCCATGACGGAGTCCACGACGAAATTGCATTAAGATGGAGAAACGACAACTCTGACGAACAGCACATGTTGTCGTGCAGATATCCGCATATTTCATGGGACACCTTTCTGTGCAAGTATTTCCAACAGTATGCATCGATCGACTGAGTTGAACACACTCTTGAAGTCCGGCAGTGCAGCTATTGTCGGTCTGCGGTATGTGTGACTCTGCTCTAGTGCCTGCCGCAGAGTGAATGTATGGTCTGTACAGCCCCATCCTTGGCGGAAAAATGTCTGCTGTTCCCTAAAGCGTGAGTCCCCTTTCTGAAGCGAGGCGACGAAAGAGAATTGAGGCCAGTAAGTTTGTCACAACTGACGTTAGGCTAATACCCCTTTGGTTAGCACAGTCTGTGCGACTGCCCTTGTATATGGCTGCTGTAGTCGATTAACTCGCTTTAGCCGGGACGGTCTCTTCTTTCCAGACATGTTCGAAGAAGCAGGTCAATTCTTCCCAGAAGACCGTAACTACGGGCTTTTGTTGCGTATCTCTGTTCAGACATTATTTCGGTGGTCGTTTGAAGTCGACCTTAGTACTACTGACAATTGTGACCGTTTTCTTCACTTGTTCACTAATAACAAGCCAGCTTTCTGTCCCACCATTCACGTTGAGTCACATGGCGACCATCGGACGACAGGGTGCTCTGGTTTCGAGTGGACAGCACTACCGCTGGCTCCAGATCACGGACGTCTGTTCAACTGTGTTCTTCGATCTGCAGTACCAATCTCGATTCTGTGCTCTTTTACACCTGTGCAACACCCACTTCCAGATCCGAGGAGCTGCTGAGCTACGGAAATGCTTACTCGCCTGGTGTGTTTACAATTTATGAGGCGACAGCAACATTAGTTGAAAGTGATTGACGGGGTGGGTGAGCCTACTATCTATGAGATATGCTTCAAATATGCCTTAATTTGGAACCATCTTATGTGTCGGATCATTTGCAGTGTCCAACTATATCGTCGTGTTTTTAACGTTGATGGGCATGTTTGTATTTTGATCAGAGATTCAGTGCCCATCAGTTTTGGCAAGTTGCTAAGCTCGCTGTTCTTCGACGACGAAAGATCGCATCTTGGTTTCTCTTGCTGCGTCGCGCTTGACGTTTATGTGAGTTGTACTCGCACACTCGAGCGATGTGCCGTTGCCCATTGTGCCAAAATGCGCGACTGCTTTGTCACATGTGTCGGTATCACCCTCAGCAAGCATGCTGCATTTAATCTGCTCGACTAGATGACTAAACGGCCGCATGTGTGCGGTTCGACTTTGAATCTCTGTTAGGGTCAGTAAGCACCATCTGAAGACAAGAAATCTTTTGATCGGCTCCGCTTATGCCCCTACTAACTGCAATTCGAAGGGTATCGAAAACGAATTTCATCGTTAGCTCCCATATCTTCTCCGTATGACGAAAAGTACTAATATACTAATTGTTGCTACTAAGATGGATGCCCAAATGTTTTGCCCACCTGATCCCGAAAAACATTTGGGATCTCGCTCCGGGGTCTATGCGCGCCGAATAGGAATAGTGATCAATCTCTGCAAATATATGCCGACTACAGTTCTTATAATAGCCTCTATGTTTTCCCCATGCTGTGGCTGATGTTGCATTGATGATGCTTCTTCACCGCAGTTGGGTTAAACCAACTTACACTTAAACTACGTCTCTTTTTAAGCTGGATAAATTTCATTCCACTTCATTTGATTTGTTCTGCCTACCGGCATAATCTTCTATTAAATTTCCACGTTGCTTACGGTAATTGTGCTTATCTTCGTTAACTTTATTGCGTTTGTAGCATTTTCTGAGTCAATCTGGACATTTTTTACTTATCGCAGATTCGTTGCTAACCAACATACTTCATATGCTAATTTAGGGAAGAGTTATGTCTGCATAGCCGTATTCTTTAACATATATATTTTATTTGTTACTGTCATTTCAAGTGATTGGCTGTTGTTTGACATCCCCGGTGCGGCTGCGCTTGATGTGCATGTTGACAAGGTGCCTACCTGTCTATTACCCACTACCTCGTCCATACTGTCTCTAGGAGATAGTTGGTCGTTGCTGGAGGGGACGGGGTGCACGGTCCTTGTGGTCGTGCTAGGCTCGAAGAGTGGTTCCATGCACTCAGTGTGGAGCGGACTACGGTCCAGCCACCGCCTTGTGTGCGGTTGATTCCCCAACTGCAGCGTGCTTGTGTTTGCCTGTGAAGGAGTGTGGGCCGGCTCCGTTGATGAAACGTGGCTCTCATCCGCATGCCTCCCGGTCTTATTCTTTCGAGTTTACACTGGATATGGGGTGTGTGGTTGGAGCTGTGGGTGGTGCAGCGCAAGCCACCCATGGTCCCTCTGTAGGCGCAGGCGTCCTTTGGCTGGCCACAGTGACAGGCAAATCCGAAACCGGATGCCGCCAACCATGTTTTCCAGCACATAATTCAACTCGTGTCGTGGCGCCCACCGAATTCCTCAAGTACGTGGACCCAAATTGATTAAATCGCCATTAACTACGGGTGACACACATCAGCCCAAGACTGTTGGTCATTTTGCACTACTTACCTGGATTCTGATCGTGCTCTATCGCACACGTCTAGCGCTCACTCTTCCTGCTTTAAAGAAGTTCCTGACATCTAAGCTCCTCACTTGTAACTTGAACTCCCAATCTGCAGTTCAACGATATCATGACAAACTGGCTCACCAATTGTCATTGAGCAATGAGGTTGATGAACCGAGCACTGACTGGAATCGTTTCATTTATGCTATGAGTACTTTTGACGTCTGCCATACACGTCACTTGAGACGTCCACATTATGAATGGATGTCTGAGACATCAATCAGTTAGACCGAACCACGGAAACAGGTTCCAATAGTTACTTTCAGTGTGTCCGTACCGCGCCGAAAGGACAACTGATAAATAGTCTTAGAATTGACTGAGGACCTGGGTGAGGGACAAGAGCCTAGGAGATTGAGAATGAAAATGCTATTGCGAACAACCGAGTACTGCGATCAGGCCGATGATACCCTATGGATAAGAGACGTGGCCACTTCGCAGTGAAGATCCATGTTTATTCACTGCTGTTTGCGGAGTATTGCTAACATCTGGTTGTCCGCTTGCTGGTTTTTGATAAGAAATTAACTAGTGCCCTACTGCAGCGTCTATTAGTCTATGGCTAGGCCATGTTCCCCGTACGCCCGTTGATCGACTTCTTTGGTGTGCATTATACACCGTTGTTACACCAGGTTGGGCGAAATCACAAGGTGACCAGTCGATGGCGTGGTATGGTTGGCGGCATCCGGTTTCGGATTTGCCTGTCACTGTGGCCAGCCAACGGACGCCTGCGCCTACAGAGGGACCATGGGTGGCTTGCGCTGCACCACCCACAGCTCCAACCACACACCCCATATCCAGTGTAAACCCGAAAGAATAAGACCGGGAGGCATGCGGATGGGAGCCACGTTTCATCAACGGAGCCGGCCCACACTCCTTCACAGGCAAACACAAGCACGCTGAATTTGGGGAATCAAGCGCACACAAGGCGGTGGCTGGACCGTAGTCCGCTCCACACTGAGTGCATGGAACCACTCTTCGAGCCTAGCACGGCCACAAGGACCGTGCACCCCGTCCCCTCCAGCAACGACCAACTGTCTCCTGGAGCCAGTATGGACGAGGTAGTGGGTAATAGACAGGTAGGCACCTTGTCAACATGCACATCAAGCGCAGCCGCACCTGGGATGTCAAACAACAGCCAATCATTCGAAATGCCGATATCGAATGAAGTAAACGCATATGACGACATAAATACTCGCTAAATGAGCATATGGAAGAAATTGGTTAAATATCAATACGCGATAAGTACAAAATGTCCGAAAGTTATTTTTTAAAAATATCACGCGATAAAATTACGCAAGTTTACCACAATTTGCATGAGCGACGTGTGTAAGTTGGGAGAAGATTATCAAGTACGCAGAACAAACCAAATAAAATGTAATGAAATTTATCCACATTAAAAGACCTAGTTTAAGTGTAAGTTGGTTTAGCCCAACTGCGGTGAAGAAGCATCATGAATGCGACATCAGCCTCAGCATGGGGCACATATACATACATGGTTGGCGGCATACAAGCATAGATACTGACCGATTTAATTGGTCAGGCTGGTGCATGCCGTCTGCGTGGGTGGGGGCTCCGGGATAGTCCACACCAGTGGTTTACAACCCTAGCAGACACGGCGCATTCGCGCAGTCAGTGGCCTTCTTGTATTCGGTTGTTTACGTCTAGTTGTTAATTTTCTTTCCATCCTGATCAGCTCTACGTACTGCACTCCTAACTCCATTTTCTTTGGATTCTATGTGCTTCAAATGGTGAATAATACCCGTTTCAGTCATGAAAAGGTTGTCTAACAAACATGCTCGTTTTCAGTGCTTCATCATCAGATCAAATACAACACATTTAAACAGTTAAGAAAGGGTGGATTGAGTAACTTCTTTTCTTTCTGTTGCTGTCTATTGTTATTCTGAGGATGTGAGTTGTGGCAATTTGATCTATCGTATTTCGGTGCCCGGATCCCAGTTGTACAACCGAATATAACTGTCGTCCATTTTTCGACCACAACTAATGATACACGATATATTGCAGCAACTGTAGCAGGGTGCCGTAGGTTTCTACTCACAGAAGCCCTAGGTACTTATTCATTTACATGACAACTACCTTGCGTACATCCTTTGTTAATCTAATCCGCATCTCTTGCCTCATCGCAATGAACCATCGCTATCTCCGTAACGCAATTGTCGGTCTTATTTCAATTTTCTAGGAAAAGATTGGTCTCCATAGACTTGACGCCGATTTACCATGCCGGGAGCTCCCTTGGGGACACACTTCGAGTGCGATTGATTTCCCACAATTCTGCCTTCACTACGGGTCCTACATTCGTCAGCATCGAGCTTCTCGCTTCAAACTGCAATCGGCTCCAGTGACCACGCACCAAAACCGTCACGTGATTCCCAGCTGGATGGCTCGTCTCTCCCTCCTCGATTCATTGGATAAGAAAGCGAAAGTGTTGGCCGAATCCTACTTTTCCTGGTCTCATAGTTTTAGTTTTTCGGACCCCTCATCGTCCGAATTTGTACCTACATCGTGCACTTCCAATTCTTCCTTAGTGAGTGCTGTTTTGTAAGCTTCGCCTTCTAGCTGGTCCAGTGGTGTACATGTAATCTTGAATCCTGGTAAAGATTAGTTATTGCTCGCTCCAGTGGCTCATCAGTAGTCTTTAACATTCATTGTTGATTTACCCGGGTTATTTGTTGTGTAAATCGGTTGCGATACGCGCTGAGAGCGTTTTTACCGTTGAAGCTGATCCCATCCGGTTCGGTCACTGTATGATATCTGCTTTCAGCACTGTCTCCACAGCTGGTTTCTCGCGTGCGTACGCTCTTCAGGTAGCGATATCCGAACCAGGGATCCAAGTTTAGGTCTTACGATTTCCAGTTGACGCAGAGGCGGTTCTACTGATCGGAACAATATCATTTGGAACCGCGATCCGCTCTGAAACAAACCTATATGATAGATGCGATAAGGATAACATGTCACAGTTCATTCACAAGTGGACGCTTCAAACTAAGCCAGCAATACGCCATTTGCTTTGGTTCATATGTTTCCGGTGACAGGTGTTCAAGCTACACGTACTCGGTGAACTCTTCGTTCTTGTCTATCCACTTACGACTGATAATTTCGCTAAACATTTCGTTTGAAACACTCCCCGCCGAGCTTTTTCCCTAAATACAATATATGCGGCCCCATCAACGGGAGTAATCTTTTGGCGCTCAATCACTGACAACCTATGGACTAATCCATAGGACCTTGTTGGTGTATTACTGACCGTGATCCACAACGCCGACGGTGACGTTTGCGCGTTTGACAGCAGGACTGAGCCAATTTGCTTGGGATCAGTTGTGCTCATGTTACCCTGGCAAAATACACTTTCTAGGTGAATATCCATGTCGTTACCTATGTTACACTAACCATATTTCGCCTGTCATATGCTTGTTTCTCTGCGTTGGTTACCGGCTTGCATGTCGACCACACTTACTGTTTCTCTGGTTTGTGTTTCCAGCAGAATGCACTTCTTGCTGCTGAACCACCGTGCAGCCAGACAATTGATGTGTACCTCAATGTATCTGACTTCAATAGCTATCCGCTCAGGGCCTCCAGCTTCCTTCATCAGGTCGAAACATACCTACGGCGATCTAACCCAAACATCCGCACCAATTTGAACTTCCACCGAGTCGGTGCATCACGCATTTCGCTTGAAGAACGAGGACCTTTTGGTCAGTGGTTACGTGCGCACAGTCGACTCCTCCTCTTCTACGTAACGGCAACATCGTTGGACGTGACACAAATGCTTGAAGTAGGTTTTAACCGCTAAATGAGCTAGCTCCACTATGTACATATTTTCGCATTTACAGGGACCAGAACTTTTCCCACGTTACGCACCATGTCGTTCTTGTGTGTGCAAATGTTGTACACTTCACACAACTACGGTTTAAATACTACACTCCGGCGTCGATCGTGGAATTTCATGGGTATATCATCAAACGGCATCTGGCCTAGTCACGTTATATGGGCTGGTTGGTTCCCCTTTGACTGAGTTTCATGCTCTCATCTGTGCTGCTGCATATTATCTGGTCAGATGTCGAACAATCATCCACTTGACAGAGAATCGGATTGCAGCCCAAACTAATCATACTTATTGTGTGTGATAAGGAATGGTAGTTTAGGCGAGCGAGTTTTAATGACCCCAAGCTGACTCTGTACAGCGCGATAATGGCTGAGAAAGCGTTACCATAAAACCTTAATTCAAACTGATGTACCGTATAGCTTGGCTCTTTGTTCGTAAAAGCTTTTGTTCATGGCCCAGACTTTGTTCAGAATTTTTTGTTGGTTGCGCGACATTATGGTGTGATCACACGTCCCATAGAACGTCTCAAGCTAGCTTCACAGTTGCATACATCCCAACTCAGTTGTTCGCACAAAGCCACTGCCGAGTCTCGCACATGCATCGCTCTATGACAAGTTCATATTGGCATTCACTTTCTTCTAAAATTCGTGCTTTACCTAAGTGAATTGTATGTAACTATGAGTGTTTTATTCATGTTCGCCTTTAACAGAGTCATTACCAGTTTTGCTCCTCTGAGTCTCGTCTATTCGCCTCACTCGTATATTTACTTCGTTAAACCACGGTCTTCCTCGTTGTCCACGCTGTAGTTGGAAGTCAATGGATGGTATTCTGTCCGGATTCCTTCCAGTTGCCCCGTGATGCGAAAACCGTTTGTTACAGTCATTTGGTTCATTTGAATTTACTCGGCGCGACAATAGTAGACATAACATTTTGGCACTAACAAGCGTGTTTCTCAAACGTGTGAACATCATTTGTGTAGCCTGTCTGATACGAGTGTGGTCATGCTTTTTCATGATTAATGTACGTGTGCGCGAATGTTTTTGTCTGTACTTGTCGCTGGCACGGTAAACGGCTTCTGTGGAAAGTTCGCATATTTTATGCATGTTCAATACGCATGTATGGTGGGAGGCTCATGATGAGTTACTGAGGAGCAGTCCTTCTGCAACATGTAGAGTTACATGATAGACGTTGGCGTTCCTCTGCTGTTCTGTGGCCCATGTTCGCGTTTCACCAATCGGTTGTTTACCAATAGAGATCCTTATCATGGTATCAACACTTCCGTTATTTCAAATAAAACCCATTATTTCTGGGGCTGGATGAAGGGTGTTGGTTTAATTCTGAGTCATTCCACCAACACATAAGGACGCCTCCCTTATGCAAGCGTTTTCTTGCCACCACGACCTTTCTATTATTTTTGGTTTCTTCTTGGGACAACGGATCTAACTAGCAAGAAATCGGAGTGCATAGCCGTCCTGATTTTTGGTTCGATATCGGATCGGTTTTTACTCAATTGCCTCGGTGCCACTTCTAGGGGTTTACAGAAAATGTGAGGCGTGTGCGTGCAGCAGCAGCAGCAGCAGCAGCTGATGAAGCAACTCAATCCCACACCGTTCCTTTGCAAACATCGGTGTTTCGTAAATGCTTCCGGTCACAGTGTCAGACGATTCTGAGAATGGGTGCCACTTTTCGCATGCTATTCTCGTTTCTTTTTCATATCTCTCTGCTTGAGCAAATTATAGCAAACTTCATTCGACCATGTTACTCACTTGTAGGCCGCCTATTGCATTGGACTAGGATTCAACGTGGTGTTGTGCGTGGAGCTTATGCACAGTCAAACGGATTGGGTTGGTTCGGCTACCGCTGCTTCCTCTACATCTTCCAGTCCCATCACGTCGAAATACATCACTGTTGGTCGACCTACACATGGATCCAGTATAAACTTTCCTCCCTCCGATTCAGAGCAGTTAGCCACAGTTCGCCAAATCTCTTGCCCAAGTGATGTAAAATTGGGGTTATCTTCCACACCCATCGATCGTCTGTTTTCCAGGCGTTGTAACGAGCGCTGTCCCACCTCCCCACTAACATCTGTCACTAGATCAGTGAGGCCGGCCACTTCCGTCGATTCAGGTTTCGGCTCCCTGCCCAGTCCTGTGGGAAATCCACGCGGTACCTGTTTCAAGGATCCAGATCACCAATTCAATTATCCAGTGGACACCCGTCTCTGTCGTGACAAACGCCCCACTCCTCCGCACTCCGATTCCGAGTGGTGCTCCCATTCACCCTTCGCTGTCAAAGATCACAACCGCGGACGCACCTATTTGACCTCAATAGGAAACGAGATGCACATTCCAATCACGGACACGTTCACAGAGGCGTTGGTGCTATGCGAATCAGTTTTGGCACGACCCAGCTAACTGCTTCCTTTTCGTGTCCGAATCCCTATCCCCACGTGGTCTTTCATTCACTTCGCCCTTCAAAAGCACGCTTCCCACGTGTCATCGCTATTTTTCCTTTCCATACGGTGTTTCAGTCTCTGTTCGTTGAAGTAACTTGCAATACCCGCATTTTTATATTGATATGCTTCCCAACCTTCATTAAAGCTTTTGCTTTTTACTGTCGCATCTTTAGCATCCCACCGCACTTACCTCTACGTCCACTTATGTCGCTTTTCTGATCAGAACTTGCTGTCTAAGCTGTGCTAAGTTGTCTGTGATTAACCGGCTTCCTTGTTAGTAAGACGAACTGGAGTGAGGTCTCCTTCCACTTGTTCCTTTGTAAGCTTGTCCTGTACCACCCGCCTTTTCACTGCTTTCAGTGTCTTCTTATCAAACATTCCAGCTTTAGGTTTCATTGAACACAGAGTTATTCACATTCATTCATTGTTCTTCCATTCCGTCTTGGGTGTTTGCTTCGCACTGCGACCCTCATATTCAGAGCAACTCATCCACCACATACAAGTCACAAGAATTGTGGATTCGCATGTGCACCATGTACGTCTAAATAATTGCTTCCACACAGAGTGTTCATCCCCATAGAAATGAGTGAACTCAACAGTTTTCCATGTGTTATCTGTTCAACAACTCAGAGGAACGTCCTTTGATTCGGTCTGGAGACGAGGCTCCCTTAAGTGCGGGTACAATTGTTCTGCACTACTATACATCGCAATTTCTTTCTTGTAAACTACGTTTGGATGTCATAGCAACTGGTTCGAAATTATATATCCCCTCACCAAAGCAAAAGGTGATCATTGCCATAGATAAAGGTCGGCTCTCCTAAACACAACGATTGCGCTTCTGTGAGTCCATTTCTCGACAGTTGGTAATATCCAGTCGGTAAAAATGACGCTAGCAGCTAACATGTATCAAGAGGAAAAAAACCAATTGAATCCCCGGGATATACGAATGCATTCAAAAATGTAGCTTTTCCCACTGTAGTAGGGATTGCGCTCTTTCTTTTCGTGAGTACGAATTTACAAAACCTTGGAACCGTTATTGAGATAATGAGTTTATACAATCTTTTAACATCTGGGGAATCAGTGTGTATTAATTCAAGCGTATAATCTGCCGTCTCTACACCTCTTGTTCGAATCCTTACTGTCGTATGGGTTTAGGCGCCATGGGGTATTCTAGCTTTCCCATAGCAATGAATCGCCCTTAAGAGGGAATTGGTTGTGTGTGGTTTTAGGTATGCGACTTGTGCCGCGCATCCCAGTTCAAGCTACTTCCTCCTGTGTTTAGTCACCCTGGTAGTATACTAGCTCTCGTTCAACCAATTATGACAGCATGGTACCGAAAGCGCACACTTGCAAGTGTGTCACAGCAAGTATGCGAAAGGAAAACACGCAGTCAAATGAATGGGGTCTCGAATTGCCATCTTATCCTTATTTTCGACCATTCCTAAGAACGTTTAGCGTCTGTGGCCACATTCGTCTTCCTTGTAATCCTGATGTTGTCACCGTTTCGAGTTTACCTAGGCGCGGGCGATCTCGCTATATCCTTAGCCCGAGCGCGACTGGTGGTGGTCGCGCGGTAACGAAGCGTCGGTACCATGTACCGGCGTATTTCTGGTGCCCTTATATCCAGGTGTTCAGCTGGTTCTTACGTGCTCAACCTGGGGGTCCGTGGCATCATACCGCGACCAATACACACTTCGACCACCTTCCAATCATATCCAGCCAGCGTTAACGCACCAAGTGGGTGCAGTGAGGTAACTGCTGTGCAAGCATGCAAAGCAACGTGCCCGTGGCACTAAAGGATGTGTGGTGAAATTATGCATTTGTCATACCTGAAAATCCGTCGGTTAGCATCTTCTTTGCTAACTTGATGCTGCTATCGTATACCTGCATTGCTTTTAAAGTACGAGCGAACAAACATAACACTTGAAATTAGTTTGCGCGGAGCTGCCAAGTCCCACGCTCATAGAGCAGAGCTGCTCACACCCCAGCATTGTAGACTAGGCACCTTAGAGCGAGATTGAGTTCACCTCCGCTCCAGAAATGACGAAAATTGGCAACGCCAAAGCAGCTCCCAAAATGAAACGGTCGATCAGTTCCAACAAGCATCCCGAATGAGTGAAACCAGGAGCAGTTGCTGCTCACATCACCTCCGCGCGGTTCCGTTGTTGCATGCGCAGTTATCACGCGGCCTGATCTGAACGCGCTGATGGCGCTGCTTTAAAAGCGATTGTCTCACTTCTGTTAACCCATCATGCACCAGACGTTTAAGTAAAGTGAGTTCAACTGCATCTTCTAATAGCACCATCTTGCCAACCGCTACTGGGAATGGATAAAAATAGGAATAAGATAAACAAAATGGACCAAACAACAGAATCATTAAAAAGAGGCTGTGGGACTTATACATAGGGGCTGCATTTACAGACATCCCTGACTTCGTGAATTCGCTATGCTAACCAGCAAGGATGCTTGACCACCTTTATTGCCGATGTCGATAATTTCATTTGTATAGATCTGCCGGATCAAGAATCACTGAGATCAATGGTTTCCTTGTTCAGGCCTCTGGATTATGGCGTCTGCCTAAGTTCCCGACACCGTATGCGTTTGGACGCCCTGTCAACTAGCATACAAGCGCTTGCGATTGCTTGGTGCGCCAACGCATTGATACAAGTTGATGTGTACTGCCGACACGCCGATATGATTCTTCGCTAACCAGACTACGTTTGTTACTCAATCAGCCCAGGTTTTCACCTAGAGATGTGCACCAACGGCAACCGGTTGCCAAATCTGATGAGTGCATAGGCCAAGCAGACGGTTCGACTTGACCTGCTAATGCTGTGCAGCTCGAAAGAGTTCGTTGCAGTAAATGAACACTGCTCACACCATAACCCCACTAAACACGTGCAACGTTTTACGCATGCTGTGGTGGAAAACTACTTGTTTCTTGGTGACAAACACGCATTCACGTTGTCCCGATCCCAACAGTGACACTAAATCCTACTGACTGGATGTATATTTGAGAATTGGATGACCTGCATGCATACAGCGACCCATAGATAAGATGCAGCTATATGGATGCCACTAAGTAGGAGACACGATGGCGCGTTAACTTAGTTTCAATCAACCTGTGCCTATATTCGATTTTCACCATCTGTAGACATGCTTGCTCTCAGCGAATGTCATCTTTTCATTTTGTTTTCATTCCATTAGCGCTCCGCAGTGAATCACGCGATCATTCGCTCTTCAACCGACGCGTTCGTTCCATCTATGGCAAGTAATGCCCGGGCTAGAGAAAAATGTAACCAATTTTTTCACCCATGTGACGCAGATCGTGTCAAATTTTTTACCCCGAATCTCATCTGTGCATGTGACCTATCTGCCTACGCGTTGGAGCGGTGTCAAACCGTTTTGGATCACCTGTTCGTCTGTGAACCAGTGCCAACCAAACCGGCTATCCACAATAGCCAGAAAATCACTACTAGAACGTTAGTTTTTGTTTTATGATCACTTTCGAAATGCTCCAGCTCGGAACAGAGAACTTCTATTGTGAGTAGTGAAAATCCAGCTGAAATTCATCACATTTGGAGAATTGTCTCGCCGAATGACCTTTCAACACCCGTCAGCATTGAGCATTCCCTGTCTAATTAAAAGCTTAAAAGCCATTTGCTTGACATAGGCCTCTGGCCCAAAGCAATCACCAGCATTCTACACATCTAAGGAGCCAGCTATAATACAACTTATACTGTTCAACTGTCATGCGGCTGTAAGAAGGATAAGGTTGACTCCCACGTGACGTCCGCTCTCATCGCACCTCCAATCGTCCTGTGGCATGTCATATTAATCGACTAAACTCCATTTCCAATCAATCATGTTGACTTGAAATGTAACTTGGACTTTTGTATGATATTTCTCAGCTTTTATTTCGGTTTTCTCCTATACTAACAAGCGTATGCATAACAATCAAAAAAATTCCAGTATCAGTTAAATTCTGAGTCATACTTTCAACGTTGCATTCCAATGCCGGTTTCGTTTTTATTTACACTCTAGTTAGACGTAGACGGGTTTGAAATGGGCCCCGGAACCTAACGATTGCCATGAGACGTCTTTACCACTGAATTATCGAGTTCAGGACGGAGCTTGTCGCAACAGTTCGACTCTTCAGTACCCATTGTGTGAATGGGTTGCCACGCGCACACCTCAACTTGTGTTATTTACACAAATGAGCCTGATGAATTCCCTGTCTATCTGCATTCTTTATTCTCATGTTACTTATGGTCGAAATGCTCATTTGAGACTGTGTCTCATACGGCGCGAAAATTCTGCCAAGTTGATTGACTACACTATTTTATAAGCAATGATCTAACCCTATCTTATATTCAGACTCAGTTTCCCTGCATGGCATGTCTGATTTGACTGACTTTCTCCACTTTTGTACTTCAGAATACCACTCCGTGCTCCATCAACTCACTTATTTAAGTGACTGCCATTATTGCCGGCCCACTTAACTGCGTTACTGAGCATTGTAGAATTACCCGTGTACCTTCCCAAACCTCATGTCACCAGCGACATACGCCAGATTATTCATCAATGAGTTGGCTGGCATACACTGCGATGCACCCGTTTATCCTGTGCAGACGATGCATGATCACTGAGAGCTATGCCATCCAGGAACTGCCTGGTCAACATTACCTGCGGAGTATTTCTCATGTCTGGCAGAAGCACCTAATTGGAAATACGTTTGTCCACCAACATGTGATTTGCGACGAACACCTTGTGCTACTTGCTACATCTGAGCCCAGTTTTATTTTTCTTGCTTACTCATTAAATGTCGCATTCCCTGATAAGTATATGGCCAGCACTAAATGATTTAGTCTTTGTATCTAAGGCTAAGCGAAAGGTAACGTCAACTTTCCTTGTCGTCACTGATGTACGACAGGGGTGTCTTTTGTACTTTACAACGGCAGGTGTCTTGTTTGAAACCCAAGGAAGCTTTTAAAATGTTGACATTAAGCTCGTCGCAGGTAACTGAAGGACTTTCTTGAATTATGCTACTGTTACCACTTTGTTCGGTATTAACCCCCTACAATGTGCGATATGCTCTGAATCGATCAGCAATAGAAACATCTGATTGTACTATATGCTTCATTCTCTGAAAGCACATGGTGCTGTCTATGGACTGTAAATCGCTTGTTCATTTACTCATATTTGGTAGGTCGCAATTTGGACAGATGTACAGCTTTACCCACCTAGAAGGCTGCGTTCTGTTAGCGGTGCTATCAGAAACACGTCCCCTCATGTCACCGAAATCCAGCTTACCGCTTATCAACCTGTGAAATGCCCGTACGGTACGTACTTTCTTCGTTTAAAGCTTACTTTTACCACTTGATGTTGCTGAAGGGCTGCGATCTCTGGCCGATTTGTATGGGAGCGTTTCAAATTTTGTCATTCGACAGTCGATAAGCGCGTGGAATACCGATGTGGAGGTTGACTATCATGTTTGAGGAAACGCAAGTTCGTGCTCAGTGCGCTTCTCCCAATGCAGTATTAGATTTGGCTTGATCGCACTCTACGTAGATCATGAACGCATTGCGGCATCCTGCTCTAGTTCTCTCGGAAAACTGCACCTGGAGTGCCTGCGTGTCGCTCTGCTTACAACTTGGTGTTAAACATGAATTAACTTGCTCTTTGTGTAGTTATCCCTGAATGCATGCTTGTTTCTTGCTAGAGACTCAGAAACAACGAATACCAATCCCTGTAACATGACTCTCTCTG